AACAAGTTCAAACCCAGTCTGGGAAATGTAGTGAGGCTCTGCCTCAAAATAGAAAAATAAAAAGAGGTGAGGATGTTACTAAGTGTGAAGGTTCTGGGTTCAATCTCTAGTACCGTGATTTTAAAAAAAAAAGACTGCTGGACCCCTTCCTGGGGGACCCCTCTTCAGCTGCCTCCTGGTAAGGACAGCCCTGGGTGGCTTGGATTCACCAAGGAAGAGAAGTGACAACTTGCATCTCTAGTGGTATGCGTTTCATGTATGTTACTTCAGTTATCTCACAACAAACCGTGAGATAGGCACTGCAGCCCCAGGAACCGACTAACTACATAGGAACTAACAGGTGGAGCTGAGCTTCAGACCCAAAACCGTGGGTCTTCAAAGCCAGGACCTGCTGCCGTGGCCAGGCTGGAGGAAGCAGACCACACACCAGGGACGGGGGGCCAGCAGACCCAGTCAGCACGCGGAAGGCCATCTCCGTACTTGGTTCACACGGCAGCCTTACCAGCTCTCCCACTCACCTGCATGATGGCACTGAACTGGGGCTCATTCTCCATCTGCTCCTCGGCGAGTCCCCTCTGCACACTGGCCAGCACAGTGGACTTGAAGAAGTAGCGCCAGTTGTGATGGAGCGTCCGGAAAAGCAGCTCAAACAGCTCAGCCTTCACATCAGGGGAAGGACGCTGTGGAAATACACACACACCAACACAGGTACACATCTGCACCTTCCCTCTGTGCAGTGCAGGCAGCCACCCATGGGCGCAGGCAGCACAGAAGCCCGAGAGATGCCTGCGGATGGAACGCAGTGTGCCAGCATCCACCTACACTCCCGTCACGTCCGAGAGGAGGGCCTGCCCTTGAGACACAGCAGATGGATGAGCACTCCCCCAAGGCAGTACTCAGCTTTGTATGCCAGGGAAAAGGGCCGCTAAGTGGGAAACAATAAGGATGTGCACTTTCTGTTGAGAAAACAGCCCATCCGATGTCGTATCTGCCTGGTTGTATTTCCTTTCCCAGGATGAAAATGCTGCCCCAGTGAACCTGCCGGCCTTACACAATCTCTGAGCCTAAAGACAGTAAAATGCCTTAAAAGCAGTTCTGTCCTTCACAGAAAGAGTTTAAAGAGCACTTAGAAACCACAGACGGAGACACTGAAGAGGATGTCCTGGTGGAGGCAGCACGCTGTGCTAATTGTTGTCTGCCCGCTGCCTCCTTACCAGGCTTCTCAGAGAAGAGGGCAGGCTCAGTATATTTTCTACCTTAACCAAAATCTCCATTATCACTGGAGAACATCACACTATTCCTGATGTCTCTGTAGAATTCAAAATTATAAGGCACATCTAAGTAATCCAGTGTTGTTTGCTTAGAATTCAACTGACAATGAGGTGCCAAGTTCCACGGCAGGAAGCAGAACAGGGCCCAAGTACATTTCAGGATGCAAAGCATTTGGACTTGTTTCAGTCTCAGTTTAGGCTGAAAAGGTTAGCATCTGTTTATGTAACTATTACCATAAAATTCAACGTTTTTGAATTTTGTCAGGCTGAGTGTATGTTTTCCAAGAAGGACAAAGTGCTCTCCTTTAACACTGAAAGGCTTGTCTGCATGCTTCCAAGAATGTGCCTTGCATCCTTGAGATCATGAACGCTTTCACAGGAAAGCGTATTTATAATATTCGCTGCAGAAAACCATACATTCACTAAAGGAGGCTGACCTTACTTACCTAGCAGTATTGTAATGATACACTAGACTAGTTCTGATTAACAAGACCACACCAAGCTAAAGGCATTTTTTCTTAGGGGGAATTTTATAAGAATATTAAAGTAACACAGTGACATTTTAAAACATTTTTTTCCTTGGCACGTAATTCCTCCCCAATGCCAAACAGGGGGCAGCACTGGGGACCCTGGCCTCACCTACCTCAGCAATGATGGGGTACACCTGCTCCATGCACAGGGCAATGATGCTGGGGAGGAAGGGCTTGAACACCTGGCCAGGCTCCTGCACCACCACCTGCAGGATCTTCAGGAACTTCTCCACCACCCGGCAGCCAGTGCTGCCTTCATGGAGAATGCTTTCAGCCAACTGTTCTCTGCAGACAAGAGAACACCACACGGTAACCGAACAACTTTCTCAGGGAGCAGCATGGAACCGATGTTTATGGCAAGCAAAGAAAAGCAGCAGAAAGTCCCCTGCTGCATGGCCAGGCTGGTGACAGGTGTGTGGCTTACCTGGTAAACATATTGAGGAAAGTCTGGATGATCTGTTCAGTGAAAGGCACACCCATCTGTACTCTAAGGCCACGGAACAGAGTGAGGAAGAAGCTCAACATCTCGTCAGTCACATCTAAATAAAGGAAGCGGTCAAAGTCACGCCATGGGGACCAGGGCAGTCCTCGGCTCGACCAGCTCTTGTGCAATCTGCACTGTCACCTCTCTCTAACGCTTTCTGCTGGAAGAAATTACCCCAATACCAGCAGGGCCAATGACAGAAAGCAGAAAATGATTAAGGACCTGCTGAGAAACAGCTCTGGAACAGGGAACCTCAGCCTGGCGGATCGACAGGAAATGGAGGCCGCCTCAAAGCCTCACTCAGCGCCCAGTGCCCAGCCGTGCTCAGAGCTTTCACTGCAGCAGGTCATTTTGTGCTTAACCAGGGCACCACCCCTGAGCGACTCGGCCACTCCGCTCCGTGACCAATCGTCCCTGCAGTCGGGTCAGCGGTTAAGTGGCTAAGTGTGCACAATGAGGGTGTGCTCAGGCTGTGTGGCCCTACTCAGTAAGTGGACTAATTGCAGAAAACACAGCTACAGTCTGTGTGGTTCCACTTCCAGATCCCAACAATTATCCTGCATGGTATATTTGACTTCATCCCCACACAGTCTGCTGCAAGCAACAATCAAGGAACATATGCTGCGAAGTGCCCGGGTCGATTGTATGTGCTTTGAGGACAGCCAGGCCAGCACATCCCTCAGAGCCAGAGAGCCTCGTCAGTGACCACGAGTGACAGGGTGGGTGAGGAAGCAACCTCAGCCAGACTCACCTTTCAGGTAAGTAAGCAGCACTAACCTGAGACACTCCACCCACCCACGACTCTCTGTTTACCTTGCTTACTGAGAGAAGGCAAAGATAGGCAGGAGGCTACAAATGACTCTGCAAGGTGACAGGTACCAGGGTCCACACTGAGGGCTCTGCTTACTTTTTCACGGAGACTTAACCCAGAATTCCAAAAAGAACAGCACTGCCTTCTGCTGCCAGCACTGGTTTTCCTTCACGGAACAAGCCAAGGCCCGCACTGCACGCCCTACAGATCTAAGGCAGGCACTGGGGCTCTCTCTGCTTAGCACCACCCACCCATGAGGCCTGTGGGCCAGCTCCTACCTGACTGGTGGATAAACGCCGGAAAGAGGGCCAGGGAGACCTGAACGGATTCCTGCAGCGATTGGTAGCAGATCTGTCGGGACTTGGTAGACTCCCCAGAGATATTCTCCACGATATCTTCTAAGACACTGAGTGTCTGGTGGATAATAACTTTGGCTGCAAATCAAGATGCACTGCAGGTTACGAGTTGTTTGAGGATAAAGCACAGCATGAGGGGACACAAGGAAAGAGGGAGACATCCACAAAGGGGTCAGGAGGACATCACACAGGTTTGTCAACGGAAGAGTCTGCCTTGGTTCCACTCTACACATTTCGTTCTCTTTCTCCTCTCTACTGCCAGAGCTCCAGTCCTCTGTCTGTCCTCTCGCTCAGGGTTGTGCCTGTTTTGCCTCTACCCACCATGAACAAGTCCACAAAGAAAAACAATGAAATTTACCCCCATGTGAGTTGTCTTGGACTTACGCAAAATTATAAGATGAAGGATGTGGCTCAGAGGCAGAGCACTCACCTAGCATGCCTGAGGATCTGGGTTCAGGACCCAGCACAAGCAAGAAAACCGAAAAGATGATGAACACACCAGTGAGAAAATTAAGCGTCGGCAGGCAATTACCACAACGAGAATGGACACATGCAGGTCAAAGTTTCTGCTGCAACCACAGACGCCGCCCAGTGCACCAACTCACACAAACACCTGCGATGCACATGTAAAAGTGCTGGGTTCAGGAATAAGTTGCCTGATCCTCCTTGACCTATTATGTCTGCAGCCTGAGAATATGTACACTACTGTTATGATATGCTATCAACAATATATGTAACTAACAATACCTGCCGTGAGCTCACCTGATTCCATAAAGCACACTGAGAAAAAAAGGCAGGGGCCAACCCGCAGGGGCAGTGAGTCCTGGGTGAAAACCAAGGTGGCTGTGGAACTTGGCAGGATCCTCACTAGTGCTCTGGGGTCAGCTCAAAGCCTGAGACAAGGTTCAAGCTGTTCTGGCAAGGGCCCTGGTATATAAGAGAGCCCAGGACAGGGAAAATGGCACCATTTCCTAGCATGGGAGGAGGCTCCATGGCTCCCAGACCTTCCACCTCACTCTGGTCCTCTCACCAGCCTTGTGACTGAGAGAAGACATGCTCAGAAAGTGCACAGAATCAGACCCCTGACTGCCAGCTGCTGGGTCTTGGCTTCCTCCTCTGACCGCGTGGGTAGATAACATCACCTCACTCGTGGAACTGAGGAAGGAAGGAGACCACAGTTCACAGTTCACAAAGGCCTGACCCACAGTCCCAGTGGTGCTAAGAATGAGTGAAAGGCATTGCCACACTACTGCAAGCCTACAGGGTCTGACCAAGCCAGGAACTCAGCCACACAGATACTTCCCCTAGGAGGACACGAGGCTCCCAGGAAGCAGTTCAGACAGCAGAACCAACGCAGGCAAGAGACCAAAATCCGACCTGTGACTTTTAATGAAATTAAAGCAGGGACTAAGGTTTATCTGTAAAAATATAAATGTAAAAAATTGAAAGATCCTTGCAAACTCAAGGCCCTGAGTTCAATCCCCAGTACCCGCCCCCAAAAAAAACAAACTCCAACTGAAAGCACTGTGAATAAATACATAATACGAGGATGGGTAAGAAAGTTATTGTACTTCCACATGGACAGGATATTGTAAACCCATCCAAAAGTATGTTTTCAACAAGAAAGAAGCAACTTTAGCAAAGCAGTACACAGCCCAGGATCCCAAGCCATTCAGACCCAAACTCCTGACCCCACCCCTTCATCTGGGGCCTTGGGGAAAAAGATGCCTTTCCAGGGGACACTGGAAGACACTACCAGAAAACAGTGGAAGAGAAGTGATGTAACAGGAAGTACATGACTACACAAATTTGCTGGGAATAGTTAGACAAAACAAAATAACAAGCCTGGACCTTCTAAAAAATGCCAATGTCATAAGAGACAAAAATGGGATGCTTTTCTCTGTTAAAGATTAAATATAATACACAATCCCCAACTTTTTAAAAAAGCAAAAGGGACATTTTGGTAACAACTGGAGAAATTTTGTTTTGTTTTTTGGTACTGGGGATCGAATGCAGGACCTTGCACTTATGGGGCAGGTGGCAGCACTGAACTAAATCCCTGGCCCAAGAAATTTTTAATGTAGTCCAAATGTTAAAACATTATAACATATTATTTTGATTGTGTTAGTGGTGTTTTAGTTATAAAAGAATATATTTTTCTATATAAAGGTTAGGTAGTCAGCAAAGCAATTTACTTCACATGACATTTAAAAAAAAAAGTGTTCAGGTTCAACAGTACATGCCTGTAATTTCTAGTTACTCGGGAAGCTGAAGCAGGAGAAACTCAAGTTCAAGGCCCACTTAGGTAACTTAGCAATACCCCATTTCAAAATAAAATTTAAGAACAGGCTGGGGATATAACAGTGGTAGAGCACGTATCTAGCACACCAAACTGCCACAGGTTAAATCCTCTGAACCAAACACACAGATGCGCACACATAGCACACGTGTATTAGGGAGAGGAAACACAAAGGTTAACAAAACGTTAACAACTGGTGGATCTGCATCAAAGTCTGAAGAGTGCCTCATCATTCAACTTCCATTTTTCTTTTTTTTTTTTTTTTTTTTTTTTTTTT